TATAATTAATTAATGTTCAAAATCGAACAGCTTGATGAAGTCCTGCTGATAGCACGATACAGAATTTTCCTATTGTTTTATGATATTCTGTATATACAGTAGGACCCCTATTATATGGACACCTTCGGGACCATCGGGTTGGCATTAGTGTTAAAAGATACACCTTTTTCGTGCCAGAACAATTGTCCTCTTAATATATGGGTGCCCTAAAGGAGGATTTCTGATATATTTTTTATCTTTTAAAACTTTCATCTTATAAAGGGAAAAAAATAAAATAAAATCCTAAAATAAACTGATATGTAATTTTACTTATCTCATTTAAATAGGCCTATGATAAAAAATTTCGAAGCCAAAATACCATTGAGTATATACCTTGGTTTTCATGACACCTGCCTCCACTGATAAGGATATCATCAATAGCAACATCACCTGTGAACGTAGTGCGAGCCACGAATTCAAAATACACATAGTTGTTTATGTCATCATAATGGTAGTTATTGTTTCTGAAATTATGGTCCTTATAGTACCATTTGTTTCCTTGGATGTGCCACCTAGTAATACCTGAACTACCAGTTGGCCTATCGTGATACCACAATATGAGTTCGTTTGTGCTTGTCCCGTACATGTAGTAGTAAAACTCCACACAGAAGTCAGTCCATTTGCTAGGCAAAGTAGGACTAATGAGGAGTGCTTTATCGTAATTAGCGATGGGTAACGATGCCACTATATATAAATAGAAATCATCTGGAAAGCAAAGATAAATTATGAATTCATAACGATAGCATATTATTATAGAAGTGCAATTACTACGACGAAAATTTTACTTACCACTTACGCAGACCTAATCAATCTGTGTAATAATTCAAGCCTATCGGTACCTGAAAACTTGGTTGAACATTTTACCGACAATGACGTGCGAACAATATTGAAGTCTTCTTATGAGCGGTTATACTCAAGAACTTACAAATTTATTTTATATCAAAGATACTAGAAACACAAGATAGGGCACTCTCGCTTAGCAAAAATGAGGCGGGAAATTGGTCCAGACGTAAGCGGCGCCATTCTCTTTTTATATGCCAGTTTTCTATACTTGGTCCAGATGCAGATGTCATCTTTCTTTTCAAATAATAAAGGAAAACTTTACCATTAATCCCCGAGTGCGGTCACACGATTCTGCTCTTTTGTGTCTGTCATTTTATTGCTTTTATTTATTTATGCCTACTTGTTTGTATCTCATGAATAATGGCAACGATTTTACCTCTGCAAAGGGAGTAACTTTGGCAAAATAGATCCAGTCGTACGCGGCGCCCCATTGTATTCCCACCATACATTTCGGTTGAACAGTTTTTTGCTTTGGAAAACTCCAGCTTGTGTTTCTAGTATCTTTGGCTATATTCAATATGGCAGTAGGCCTAAAAGGAAAACATTTTCACAAATACTCTATCAGTATGGACAGGGAACAGTTAATGGGCTGCTACAGACCGGGACATTGCGAGTAAAATATCGAGTCAAAGTGAGAAAATTCACTGACAAAAAACTATTCTTGCTGACAACAAACTTTAACTCTAAAAGAGTAATTTCACAAACGACACGGCAAGCTTTCCCATCCCCTCTCCACTCCGCCTATGATCTTGTGTAAAAAGCCATTACAGACTTCGCATTGACAGTCATCCCAAATGAAGAATTTACAGAAATTTTTAATCATCAATTTCCTTAACAAGAAAACAGTGGTGTTGAAGAAGCCGTCACAACGCTTACGCACGGTGATTGGACTTTGAGACCCCCAAGTCACATGCAAGACTATTGTTTAAGACAAAACAGGCGGCACAAATTTAAATTAGGAAAACTTGCTGATAATTTTTCATTAAATTATTCATTTCTTCTTCCCCTTGGATAACCTGGTCAGTGGAAAAGTATTGTTATCCTCAAGGACACAGCAACATATAACATAATTTCATATTATAAAAATGTACAAAAACATTAGTTTTGCATCATAAAGGAATGAATAAATTAAAATATATAATAATTTAACATTACAGTCTTATAACTGTAATTAACATTGAAGATTTTTAGGCTCTAATTATAATATTTTTTTACCGTCAAATCCTGAGTGCCCATTGGTCGGACCAGTGTTATTGGAGGGGGCGTTTCCAGATATGCGTGTCCAATCGATTTTACTGTTCCCTTGTGTCCATCCACCAAATCCTGCTTGAAAATTTGTGTATATATCGACGTCTATGTGCAAGTAAAAATGTATATAATTTTGAATTACAACGTCTGTGTCTAAATAACATCAATATACAATATGCACTGCGGATTAAATAAAACAATAAAGTGCAAACATTTAAACTTCCATTGCTATTGCAAAAATCGTAAACAACAAAGAATGTATGAGTGTTTAAAAAAGGAATATTTTTACTTTTAATTGTAACACGGTTATAATCTACAGCTGTGCCTGTAAAGAAATAAATATATTTGAATCTTTAAAAGAGACATTTAACAATATTGTTTCTATCCCTTTAACTTGTGTGGCGTCTTTTCTAAACAGAAGATCCCTTACGGAAACAAAATTGCGATTGGGTTTTCGAACTGTAATGCATATTTTTATTGCCAATTATATTTTACGTTTGATGAGTAATAAAAGCAATAACCAACGAAACCAATATCAATATTGAATGTACTGTGTTATGCTAGTGATAAGCGCAGGATCGGTGCAGTAGTGGTTTTATTTTATTTATTTATTTTTAATTTCCAGGCAAACAAATACAAAGAAACAAAGGAAGACTGAAGTTCTAACTGAAAAGTTAACAATACCCTCCTTGAGATTCCAAAAGTTTAAGACACTATCAGAGTGGATCTTCGATACGGAACTTAATCAAACTAGCACAAATACAATGACAAAACACTTATTTAAAGTTAAAATAGTTTAGGTTAAAATATTACCAAAGATAAAATAAAAATTTACAAGATTTTAAAAATTGATATCAAAAATTATTAAAAACAAATCATTAAACATTACAAACTGTAAGAATAGAAGGTTGAAGTGCTATGCTAAAGCTTCTTCGATTAGTTAGAAGTAGGTTTATAGCGTCAGTTAGAATTTGTTCCCATAAACGAGGAAAATTATTAAAAGGAGAATACTTCAATTAATTAGTTCTAGCAAACATACTTTTAAACACCACAGAACCATTATAACTGGAGTTAAAATTTATAAAATCATGAATATGGAAAAATAAGTTTGTAACTGTACGCAAAAATTCAATGTACTTTTAAATTAAAGTTTGGATAAATTCAGGTTACAAACTGATAGGTGATATTTTAATAGACGATAGATTATTAACGCCAAATGAACTGATTCCAAAACTCTAACAAAAAGAAAATAGGCTAATTGAATATATCCCCCTTATAAATGCAATCAAAAGAATGGAAAAAATAATTTCAAAAGGAACTAATAATAAGGTACAAAAATATAAAAATAATGGCAATTCTTTCAAAAAGGGTAAAAAAAAATATATTTATTACTGGCAATTTATTTAAGAAATAAGTACCACTCCGCTAGCTGAACGGAAGTGGGAGTTTGAGTGTAATATAAATCATATTAACTGGGATGAAGTATGGTATCACCGAGTTAAATGTATGTAATATAACACAAATGTTAAATGTATGAATTTGAACACAAAAGTTGCCCAGTTTTTTACCATGTAATAAAAGACTGAAAATATGGAAATTAGTCACAAATGATAAGTGTAATAATTGTTGTAAATTGGTAGAAGACGAACACCATATGTTATTTATGTGTTCAAAGATAAAGCCTCTATGGATACGGTTTAACATGATAATTACTAAGTGCTTTCCTGACATAGGACCTACCGGTATAAGCTGGATAAACGTAATTGTTGGAACCAACAACAATATCGTAAATGAGCTTTTGCCTTTGATGACGTTTAGCGTTTATAAAGCAAGTCTAAAAACGAAAATTGAAAAAAAAAAAAAAAAAAAAAAAAAAAAAAACAAACAAAAAACAGAAAAGTAAAAAAAAAAAAAAAAAAAAAACTAAAAAATCAATAAAACGGTTATTTGGATTTCTTTTACATTGGAGGTTAAATTTCAAATTGAAAATGAATACGCATGTAACATAGATAAAGCAAATAGGAAATGGTCACGTGTAAAAAATATTCTTCTGAAAGAGTTAGCCTAATTCCTAATTGAATATTTACTTATTTAAATTTCTCCTGTGGTTTTGTAAATATATAAGCTTATTATTAAAGTTTAATTTAATATTACAATGTACAATATAAGAAATCTCCTTTTCATAATTTTGTCATAAATTATGAACCTAAAATTTGTGTTCAATGTAAATATTATGTTATTGGTGCCGTACATCATTGTGCCTATGATTAAAAATGTAAACCAAAACAGAAGAAGAGAAAGAAAAAATAATGATAATGTCGTAAAGGAAAAAAATGAAAGAAAGTGGAATGTTACATATAAACAGAATATCTACTGCAAAGGTACAGTAATTAAGGTTAATGAAAATGAAAAATAGGAGAAAAAACAAAAATATTTAATAATTGGTACTATAGTGTGTGTGTGTAAAAGGTTTGTTATATTTTGTATGTCATTTTTAGGTATGTCTATGTATATGTGTTGGTTTTTGGTGGGTGTGTGTGCGTGTGCGTGGGTGTGTATTTTTGGGGTTTTTTGGTATGTTTTGTGTGTGTGTGTGGATGTGTGTATAAAACACATATTGTATGTATTTATAGACATAGAGAAAATGAATTACGGGAAATGTGGAATTTTCTCCTACTAAAAAAATGTACACGATTATGAATTAATTTTTCTTTTAAATTTGCTTTATATTGTAATGATGTATAAATACATAAATTATTCTGAATTGTAAACCCATATGTAAATATTGGTACAGAGTAAGCTCACTACGAATACGAATACGAGAAGCTTTATTGCAATTTTTTATCATAAAAAATTGAAGTTTAACAATAGGCTAAGAAAACACACAAAAAAGACAAAAAACGATAAATAAAATAAAAAACATAAAAAAAATTTAAAATTCACCGAAGAGCGAATATAACAGGAGAGAAAATGTAACATTGAAAATCATGAAAAAGAGGAATAATAAAGGTGGGAGATCCCCACGAAAGAGAGAAAACAAATTCATGAATATTTAAAAAAATTTCATTAAAAATTATGACACTAGGCTAGTTATCTGAAGGTGGTGGGTTGAATTCCCAACAAAATCATTTGCGAAATTTTATTCGTAAGTAATTTCGAAAGAGGTGAGCATTTAATACTGCAGCACATCATATAGAGCCGTGAAAATAACATTCCTAATTTAAATTTATTGTTATTGTTTATTGGCTTACGCTCACCTGAAGTACAAGACACAACTTGCAGCAACAGTAACAGCTCGATCCTTGTATGCTTCATACTGAAGTTTCAGTGAATACCGCTGTTCAATTCTACATTTTTATAGGTAGTATTTCACTCACTATAACTATACTGGCAAATTCACTGTTGATTTGTGTAATTATTTGCACAAAATAACATGTGCAGAGTTTATCAGATTGCGGTAGGCCTACTGATATATGTGAATACACTTAACAGAGACAGGTGCATCACTTGCTTTGTCTTGGTTATCATGTTAAAACAAATGCAATACCTTTATTAATTATACAATGGCGGATACAGGAACTCGACATAGAGGAGGCCCAGGGCGAGACTTTGACAGTGGGTTTTATATTGCCTCAGATCCACCATTGCGGCTGAGAAAGTACATTCTTACTGAATGAAATGCCGTTAATGCTTTATAAATCAACTCTACTTATGAGGCTTAGGGCGCGGAATTGATTTTTAGTCGTGAGAAAAAGTGCTGTTGTGACAGGAATTGAACACAGAACCCTGGAATTAGAAAGCAAGCATTTTAACCACTAAGTCATTCAACTCTACTGAATATTTCATATTTTATATATTTAAAACCATAACGTGTTCCACGTGGTGTACCGCCGCCTATGCGCCCTCATACTGTCCTCGACCGGCACTCTGACCCAAAAGGATTTTATAGATACGGTACATTATAATGTGTCTCTGACATTGATTGCGGGATATATTGTTTATCATATTATATCTAATGGTGGATTATGTTCTGGGTCGACCCCTTTAATCTGTCAAAATGTTTTAGAAATGGAGATAATGCCCCTCCCCCCTCAAACGACAAAGTGTTCCACCCCCTCCCCCATCATGGCTCTTGCAAGATTTATTGTACTCTACAAATTTTGCGTAAATATACCTTTCCCATTAATGTAATAATAACAATCTTTGATAACATCTTAGAAGCAATTAGAGCAGAGAGATAATTATCTATTTATCAGTATGGGAGTGTGTCATCCTGCCGGCCGAATGGGGCATCAGATGGCTTTGGCATGCAGCTGTGTAGATATGTACAATATAAGTTTAGCATCTTTTTAGATTAAAATGTTTTTGCAACATTCATATTCTCCTTACTAGTATTTGATTTGAAAAGGGGAGGACCCAGAGATGTCTCTTATACACATCT